ACACGGAGCACCTGGCTGCAGTGAAAGCCATCGCCTGGTCTCCACACCAGCACGGCCTCCTCGCCTCTGGCGGCGGCACCGCTGACCGCTGCATCCGCTTCTGGAACACCCTGACAGGGCAGCCCCTGCAGTGCATCGACACCGGCTCCCAGGTCTGCAACCTGGCCTGGTCGAAGCACGCCAACGAGTTGGTGAGTCCCTCTGTGTGGCCCTCACTGCTGAGCTGCCTCGTGGTAGGAGACACAACGTCTGTTTCCCTCCCTCCTTCCAGGTGAGCACCCACGGCTACTCGCAGAACCAGATCCTCGTCTGGAAATATCCCTCACTCACTCAAGTAGCGAAGCTCACAGGGCACTCATACAGAGTCCTATACCTGGTAAGCAGTGGCCATGTTTCCACAGCAGCTGCTGAACATCTGCTGAGATGAGAGCACTGTCAGCTGCCTCTGGTCGTGGTAGAGATGTGAGTGTTGCCCTGCAAGCAATGAAAAAAGCTCTGTCTGCTTTCCTTGCCTGCAAGGGATACTTTGATTTACTGGTATGGAAATGTGAGGCTTTATTAATGAACAGCAAAGCTTGCCAAAACTCTTCAAAGGGAAGCACAGGATCTCTTCTCATTCCCATAAGGCTCGGTCACTGTTTGTTGGTAACTGCAAGCAGGGAATGACATGATGCCTTCAGCCTTCCTAATTCCATATCAAAGCACCTGGTGCAGGTAGGAGATCCGGGTGGATTAGCTGCCTGCTTACGTTACGTTGGGCTTTTGGCAGAGTCCTGGCAGGTGATAAATATTGCTGATACTGTGCTGTGAGGTGGATTCCAACTCAGGTGACTAATGAGTGGCATTTGCCAGCTCTATCACGCTTCCTGCCTTAACACACATTTATAATCTGGGGAGGAATAGCCCCAGTTATAATTGGCAGGGGGAAGGCGAGTCGAATCTCTCTCATGCATTCCGATCAAGGTTTGTTTTCAACCTCAAGAATGTGATAGAGGCTCAGGGTTGCTCTCTTGGCTGCAGGCGATGTCCCCTGATGGGGAGGCCATTGTGACAGGAGCTGGAGATGAAACCTTGCGATTCTGGAACGTCTTCAGTAAAACTCGCTCCACAAAGGTAAGGGTGCGTGCAGCTGCAGCAGGAATCCAGGCTGTTTGCTCTCTTCTTCAGCCTCACCTCTGGGTCCATTAACCTTACCCTGCGGATTGAGGGATGGTTGCAATTAAGAGTTAAACTTGGCTGCAATATAAAAGGCTTTGCAGTCATGAGACACAATAAAAGGCTGGCTGTGTGCACGCAGGGTGGCGTGTCAAGGCGTCATTGTCCCAGCTGTCCCGGAACCTCCGTGCTCACCTTGAGCCCACCACCATCCGTCACTGCTGCGTGATGCTGTCAGCTGATGGTGTCCTCATATTTTATTATCCTTCAGCTCCTTGCTTAATTGCTGGAGGTGATGACACTGGGGTACCAGCAGCATGCTGTGCCCGGTGCTCCGGTGTGTGGTGTAGATGGCAGCACTGGGACCCTAAGGAGGGCTCTGTGGGGGCAGCTCTGCTGCTCTGGGCATGGGGCTGTGGTGCAGCGTTGCACACAGACGTGGGAATGGCACGCTTGCCTGCCACGCTCCTCGTTATCAGTTGGAGGGGAGGGGGGAGGAAAAAAAACACATGGGAATATTTATGGTGTTGGACTTTGAATGTTGTGCCCTGAGATACCTCAGCAGCGTGGTGATGGTGGTGGTTAAAGCCCTGCAGTGCTTAGTGCTGCTTTACCTTTTGTTCTAGGAGTCTGTATCCGTTCTGAACCTCTTCACCAGGATACGGTAAACCCCCCCCCATACTGCAGCCCAGGAGAGTCCAGCCTCACGTAGCAGGATGGAACCACTGCTTTGGTGTGCATGGGACCCCAGAGAGCAGCCGGGAGGGGAGGGAGCCCCGCTGGGCCTGGAGGATGGACCCACAGGCACTGATTAAACAGTGCTTGTGAACGGCGCTGGGGCAGCATTTCGCTGGGGCTGTGGGGGGTGGGGGGTGGGAGGGAACTGCCAAAGGTTTATGGATTCATCCTTTGTTGAAGGGGTACGTGTAGAAGAGGTCAAACCAGCGCCCTCCAACCCTTGTTTTTTCTTTTGTACTGGAGAAAACATGTTTACATGGACCACTGAGACCGGACCAAGGCCATCCCAACTGCTGTGTTGTATGCTCTTAGGAGAGATGAGAGTATCCTTGCCCCTGTGGGGCAATGCCCCGGCTGAGCGTTGGCCTCTCTGCTATCTAAAGGCACTCTTTAGAGCCTGGATCCCCACTGCACCAGAGAACCACTTATTTCTTCCAAATGAAGCAGGTACCACAGTGCTGGCTCCATAGGGCTGCTGGGTTCTGGCCCGCTGACCAGCCACCTCCAAACATAACATCTTTGGGCTTTGAAGAGGCTCCACCTCGGAGGGAATGCGCTCAAAGCAGCTTAAAATTGCTGTGGTGTGTTTTAGGCCAATCCTTTATTTAACAGAGAGGGGAAAGAAAAAAAAAAAAAACAAAACAAAACAACAAAACACAACAATGGCTTTAAAAAGCAAAGCAAAGCGGTGTGCATGCGGAGCTCTCCAGCTGTGTGCTGGGTTGGTTCCTGAGGACAGCCTTCCTGAGGACAAAAGCAGTTGTGATGTGCTTGAGAAACAAAACCACTCCTGTAGGATCTGGTTTATTTCAGAGGGAGCCTGGCCTCTTCTGGCTGGAAGGAAGGGGGGCACGCCACGCCGGGGCGAGAGGGGGGGGTTCTCTTTGTGAAGCCAGGCAGAATTTGTTGCCCTTTGTGTTTTCCTTTCTGTTTTTTAAACTCCACGTTGATGCCAGGGGACCTGTTGATTTTCTTTGTTGTTGGAGCTGTATGGGAAGAGAGTTTGTGTTTGTGTGCCTGGGGCGGCGTGCTGAGTGCCGTGAGCTGTGCTGCAAAGCACTCACGTGTGCGTGTGTTGCTTTTAATTTAAGGAGAAGCTGTTCTGCTTGCAGCAGCCTGTTCTGTCTTCCCGTGTCTGTGTGCCAATGCTGTGCCCTCCCTCCCGCACTGGGCTGTGTGCGCCGTTCCCTCTTCTCCTTGGGATTTCCCTGGCTGTGTATATAGACCTTGACCTGTTCTCTGTAGGGTGTAGAGGCAGTACTTCTTTTCCTGAAAGCAGGCTGTAGGGGTAGCAGTGCCACCAGCCCCGTGGGTGCACGGCTGTGAGCTGTCACATCCAGCAGCCCCCACTGCCCCTCCAGTATCACTGGGGTGTAATTCTAAAAACCCAACGTTAGCACAACCACTCTGTTCTTGCAGCAGGAGCACAGCACTCAGTTTGGGGTTGGTCTGAAGGCCTCCTGATGTATTTTTCTTTTATTTTTTTTTTGGCACTGTTAAATGTGGGGGTAGAGCACTGAGTGGATTTGATGGTCATGAATCCCACCCAGCACAGGTTGGGGGCTGCGGGTGGCAGTTTGGGTGTGGGGTGGGGGATCAGCTGTTGTGTGGGAGCTGAGGGTGGTAGCGGGTGAGTGTGGGGCTGCGTGCCCCCCTGCTGCCCTCATTAACCAGGGAAAAGAGGAAAGCCTTCGTCAGCTGCGTTGTCTGTGAGCAGGGGGCAGCCTGGAGTCTCTGTGACAGTCTGTGACCGTGTGGCGTTGTTACATATACAGCATCGTGTGGTGGGGAGGGGGGAAAGGAAAACAAAACAAATAAAAACAAGTACTGAGTTGTAACTTTTCCATGTAAAGCGTTCTAACTGGCATTAAACAAGTTGTGAATTTACACCGCTCGGCTGTTCTCACTTTGGTGTTCTGAGCTCTGTGTGCCCATAGCTGTTTAGTGCTGGCTGCTAATGGGGCGGTGGTCCCTGCTCTGAGTGGCACAGAGGTGCCCCCACCCCCTTACCCCCACCCTGTTGCCACTGTTACTGTTGCTCGGGTGCTGATTCCAGCACCGCTTTGGGCTCCCAGGGCTGGGCATGAAGCCGGGGGTGCACAGAGCCTGGGTGCCACAGAGCACCCTCGAAGCAGACTTCCCTCTGCCCCTGTGCAGGTGAGGCAGTGGTGGGAGCTCGGGGCTGAGCCCTGGGGTGCTGCAGGCCCTGATGTCCCCTCCTGCCTGCAGTGAGCAGTACGTGACGCTGCGGGGGCCGCGCTGCGCACCAGTGCTGAGGCAGGCGGTGCGCTGGAAGATGACCCCCCTGGGCCGGGATGCAGCAGGGCAGAGCTGGTGGACGGAGCCGAGCTGCCATGGGGCAGAGGACACCAGGGACAGCCGCAGCCGTAGCACTGCCTGGCAGCGCTGGCAGCGCTCACACGGCTCTCTTGAACTGGACCTGCTGCCCCCCGGTATGGAGCTGGGTGGGGGGGTATTGGGAGGGGAAAGCACAGCGCTAACTCAGGAGCTGGGGGGGGAAGCTGTGGGGCTCTTCAGTGGGAGGAGGATGGGGGTGTAGGGGGAGCTGGGGGTGTCCTGCTGCCTGCCTCCAGCTCTGCAACCTGTTCCCCCCCCCCCCCCCCAAGTCTATGACCAGCACCTGCGGGAGGTTGCCTGCTGGGACCCCACTGTTCCTGCTGCCTACCCGGGGCCTGGCACACGTTGGGGAGCCTTTCTGTGGCAGGAGTGCCCCATCCTGGGCAAGGAGTACGGTAAGAGCTGAGGGAAGGGTGGCAGTGTGTCCTGCAGTGCCCATCTGAGCCCCCCCTCACCGTTCTCCTTCTGTTCTGCAGTGGCCACCCGCAGCCAGAGCACTGCGGCGCTGGGGGGCAGCTCAGGGTACGTCCCTTTGCTGTCCTTCTGCAGCCCCCAAACCACCACCCGGGATGTCTGCAGCTGGAGCCTCCTGCAGCACCAGCCCTCAGCCCCCCACAAATAACAGTGCTGCAACTCTGCTGCTGCTTTGGGGGAGTAAGGGGGGGAGGGCAAAACCTCTGGTACAGCCCAAGGAACAGTCAGCCTTGTGGTGGGGGACCCTCTAACACAGACGTCCCGTGCAGCACAGGTAGCACCACATCAGCTCTTTATTAATAAAAATAGTTCAGTCTCCCTGTGCCCACCGGGCCCCGCTGTGCCTGCACCCCCGGGGGTGGCTGCCTCCCAGGGTGGGGGCCTGGCTCTGCCTGCCCCCACAGGTCTGCTTTGCCCTCAGATCAGTGCACACGCAATGGGCTCAGAGGGTGAAGCATAGGTGGGGGGTGGGATGGAGCCCACGGCCCGCGGGGGCTCCATGGGGGGTGCTGGAAGGTGGGTGGGGGGTGGGATGGAGCCCACGGCCCGCGGGGGCTCCATGGGGGGTGCTGGAAGGTACATGGGGACCCCCCCCAGCCTTCTGGGGAGTCCCAGAGCCAATCCCATGGCCTGGTGGCAGGTCCCTGCTGGGCTTCACGTCTTCTTGTGCCTGGGAGGGAGGGCAGGGTGAGGGGTTCCCCCTGAGCTGGGGATGAAGGGGCCACTGACCCCCCACTCACCGCTGCACCAGGCTGAGCTCTGGCCAAGCCCCCATGGCCGCCAGCTGCTGCTCCAGCTCCAGGATACGCAGCCCGATGTACCCCGAGGTCAGCAGCAAGGCCACCATCCTGGGGACAACACAGTCAGGGACAGGGACACAGGGCTGGTGGGGAGGGGGGAGCCCTGCCCAGGGACTCACAGCAGCAGGTAGAGCACGATGATGGTGTTGAAAGCACGCAGCTGGGCGGCGTTTTGGGCTGGCAGTGCTGTGCGGGGTCCCCCTGCCAGGAGGAGGTGGTGTTGGGGACAGCAGCGTGGCCAAGAGAGGTGTTGTCCCGGCCCTGTGCTGGGCACATGGACACTGCGTGGCTCTGCCAAGGGCACTGCTCACCTCTGCCCAGAACTGGAGTGTCCTCTGCCATCTCCTCCTCTTCTTCCTCATCCTCCTCTGCTCTGTTCAGCGTTGCGTTCGGCTCATCTGCACATAACCGGGATCCATTCATTGAGTGCCTCAGGGACCCAGAGGGGCTCACAGGGTGGCCCCAAGAAGGGAGGCCTATAGGGTGCCTATAGGGGTTCTGGGGTGTTGTGGGGAGCACATAGGGGCTGTGGGGGGCACACTGGGGTGGCCACTCACCCTGCAGCTTCAGGAGACCATCACGCTCCGCTGTGCACTGCTCCAAGTCTGAGTGGCTCAAGTTCTGCAGGAGAACAGGGATTGTTGGAGGATGGGTGGGGGGCTGGCAGGGAGCTGGGGCTTCTCAGCACCACATTTCCCCCAAAAAGCCCTCCCTGGGGTCATGCAGTGCCATTGGTGCCATTCCCTTACCAAGGATTTCTTAGGGCTTTGCTCAGTGCTGTGGTTGAGGGGAGAGGCTGGGGGGCTCCAGGCATCGTCCTGCACAAGGAAAGCTGCAGCGGGGTGCAGGGGGCACAGAGCCCAGCCCCGACCCAGCACACTGCCTACCTGCAGGTGTCTGCAGAGCGACCTCAGCAGCTGGTAGGTGGCATCACGCCGGCGCAGCGACACAAAGAGGAACTGTGGGCAGAGGGAGGGGCAGTCAGTTCCCCCCCAAGGCCCCAACCCTACTGCCCCCTCCCCAAGCTCACCTTCTCCCCCTGCTCCGTGCGGATGCTGAGTGCGTTAGGCACCAGCAGCGCTGTGTTGGTCTTCTTGAGGGCACAGACAGAAGCCACTGGGACAACAGCCTGAGGGGAGCAAGCATGGTCAGACCCTGTGCCTCCACACCACCCCACACCCTCCCCATGTCCCCACCTTGATCTCCTTGAGCAGCAGGCTGGCGTGGAAGCAGAGGTGCCCAGAGGAGACATAGAGGCGGCCGTGGTAGGGCACCTCGCGCTGCCAGGCGCAGGAGAAGCAGGCCAGCAGAGCCTCGTGCTCTGCGATCTCCTCAAAGGCTTTGTGGAAGGCAGCACGGCGCTTGCTGAGCTGTGGGGAAGCCGAGGAGTGGGGTTGAGCCCTGGCATCTTCAGTACTGACCACAAAATGGGGTTGGGGTCCCTCCTCCTCTCCCCCAGGACTCACTAGGTTTGGGGATGCTGGCTGACCCGACGCCTCCGGGGTCTCGGTGCAGGTGGAGGGGTCGTAGGTTCTGGATCTGCCGGGAGCAGCAGCCACTGAGCCGTGGCCATGAGGGCCTGAGGGCTGTGGCTCAGGGATGCAGCACTGCAGGACATGGGGGTTGTGAGTCAGGGACGCAGCACCCACCTGGCGAGTGCAGGGTGCGGGTCTGGCTGTGCGCTGCCTCTCTCCTCCAGGCTCTGCCACGGCTTTTCCAACACCACCTTCCTGCTCCTCCGCAGCCTCCTCGACATGGAGCAGCCTGGTGTGCTGTGGAGGACAGAGGCAGGTGAGGGGGGATGAGAAAAGGGAAGCCTACTCCATCCCCAGGCCCTTCACCCACCCCAGTTGGGTGGGGTTATCCGCAGGCGATGGCACGTGGGGTACTCCTTGCCCACCTGCCCCCTGCTGTCCCACAAGGGGGACACTGCCTGTCCCCTGCCAACATTGGGGTGCTCAGCACCCTCTGATCAGCCACCAGGGCTCACTGGGACACACAAGGAGCAGCATGACCGTTGTGAGCCCTTTCAGAGCATCTCCGGGTGCTGCCTGTCCCATGCCCTGAGGTCCCCAGGGCCCCATAGGGCACTCTCTGCGTGGCAGCCACCGTGGCCCCACTCCAGGAAGGGCAGCGCCCCAGGCTCTCCCCACACATCAGCCACAGCCCTGGGGACACATTGGGGATGACAGCCGTGTCCCCAGGGTGACTGTGGCACCCCCAGCACCCACTCAAAGGCAGCAGGTGGCTGCTCCTGAGTCCCTCTGTGGCTCCCGAGGTGGACACGTGGGGGATCGAAGGACAGAGAGCAAAATTCCTGCGCTGAGGCTGCTGCCCAGCTCAGGTGGTACCTGGTGGTGGGGAGAGTCGAGCCCTCCCGTCCCGTCCTGTCCCACTGAACTGCAGCCCTGTGCTCCCACGCGTTCCTTCAGCCTCAGCCCACAGCCTCCTCCTCCTCGTCTTCCTCCTCCCAGTGAGGAAGGGCGGGCAGGCGGGGCTGGGACCGGCCGCAGCAGGTTTGCAGGGAGGCGTCGGGTGGGGCTGGACAGAGCAAAAAGCACCCGGGGGTGGGGGGGCTGCAAAGGGCATCGCCACCACAATGGCACAACCCAGGCCCTGGTGGGTGCGGGATCCCCAATGGGATGCGGGTGGGATGCAGGACGCCCACCCCCCTGTGTTTACAGCCCTCTACGGGACCTGCCAGGTGTGTGAGTGCCAGCACAGCTGGGTGCCACCACCCCCATCTGCCCACGGGGTGGGAAGGGGCATGGAATGTCCCCCCTCCCACAGAGGGGAAGGCTGAGCACTCCACAATCCCAGGACCCCAAACCAAGCTGCCAGGTAGCCCCGAGGGAATCGGGGCAGTCCCTTGGCCTTGCCTACAGGTGACTGGGGCAGGTGCCAAGGCTGCCAGCCCGGCCCTGCTCACCCTTGCTCCCTTCCCCGTGCTGACACAGCCCTGTGCTCAGCACCGTGCAGCAGGGAGCGGCCAGAACCCGCACTGCTGCAGCTCCCCCTGCTCAGCCTGCAGCCCAGCACCGCGTCGCTGCATCACCAGCTGCCCTGCAGCACCGCGTCTCATCCTGTCCCTGCACACGCACTTCCCTTGCACAAACACGCGTGCACACACCGCGTTGCACGCTCACCCCATCACTCGCCGCAGCCCCCCGTGCTACCCAGGCCCCGCCCCTTCTCTTCAGACCCCGCCCCCTTTCACTTAAACCCCGCCCCTTCTCTTCAGGCCCCGCCCCCCCGCCCTCCCTCCTCCCCGCCCGCCCCGTGTCCACGTGCCGCCCACGTGCCCACCACGTGCAGGGCCCTCGCACCCTGTCGGCTGCGCCCCGTGTTCCTGGCTGCCCCTCTGCCCGCTGCCCGGCGGGGCCCGGGCCTGGGCGCAGCTCGGCCTCCCGCACCGGACCCCACAGCGATCACCACAGCGGTGCGTGGGGGCCGCTCGACCCCCGGAGCCGCCTGAGGCAGCGCAGCCGTCAGCCCCAGGGTACAGTGGAGCGGTCGAGGGCCGTGCGCTCCACTAAGGCCGCGTGCCCGGGCCGCGGCACAGCCGAGCCCGGAAGCCCCCGGCCCGCTGCTGCCTTTCTCCCGGTCCCGGCAGCGCCGCACCTTCGTGGAAGCGGCGCGAGCCCGCTCCGCGGCTGAGGGCTCGGCAGCGCCGGGCGGCTACCAGCCCACGTGAGTTAAAGAGCGCTCCCATTGGCCGCTGTGCCGCACGGGGCGGGACGAGGCGCCTAGGAACCAATCGTCTTCCTCCAGCCCTCCCGCGCGGCCGCCATTTTGTTTGCGGGCGCGGGCCGCAGGCGCCATTTTTGTTGAGGGCGGCCATCTTGCGGCCCGCACGGAGCTCGCTCTGCGGGGCCGGCGGCGCACGGATCCTCCCTGGCGGCGCACCGAGGCGGCTGCCGGGGCCCGAGCTCCTCCTGGAGGCCTCGCACAGCTGCGAGGGCCCGCACAGCTCTGGGCAAGCACAGCTCTGGGCAAGCACAGCCCTGCGCCCGGCCCTCCCAACCAGAGCGGAGGCTTGGGGCTTCGCCAGCACTGGCATTTATTCAAGTTCCGAGGTGAGCCGTGTTCGTTCCTTCTTTAAAAAATAAAAGTGCTACGTGTACACGCTGACCTTACAAAGCGAGTTAGAACCGAGGGCCGGGCGCCCCGTCCAGCAGCACGCCCGCAGCCCGGCCCTCCTAGTGTTACATTGTGCAAACACGCGGGGACGGCCTTCATTGCGGCCCCGCAGCGCGGCGGGACGAGGCCTGCGAGGAGGCAGAGCTCACCGAGCCCCAGCCTGCTGCCGTCCCTCCGTCGGTCCCTGCAGGCGAGGCCCAGCAGTGTGGCAGCTGGAGGCACCGCTCAGTTGACCGTGCTGCTCGTGCTCCTGGCCTCTGCGCTCTCTGTTTCGTGGTATTGCATCCCTGCTTCATTCAGTCCTTGCAGGGCGATGTCGTCTGTAGGGACGGGAGGGAGAGGTGAGGAGCTCGTGCAGGGCTGGGTGACCACCGCAGGCTGAGCTGCTTCTTCTGGATTCTGCCCCCAGTGCAACGTTTAACAAGAGCCCCGCGCATGGGGGCCTTTGTGCTCTCCCCCCACTCAGAGCAGAATGAGTCCTGGACACCCCGCAGGTCAGAGACGCAGCTGATACTGAGCCCTGGCTGCTGGCCCCCAGCCTGGTGAGGGGAGCCCACCCCCAGCCCTACATCTGACTAACAGCAAGCACAGCAGATCCCCCTGCTCCCCAACAACCACATGTTCCCAAAACTGTGACCAGGCAAGGGCAGATCCTGCCAGCACAGGCACAACCCCAGCTCTGGGGCCAGCAGCAGCAGAAGCACAAGGAGCTGAGCCCACCACGAGGGTCACCCTGCTGCCTCCCACTGCAACCAGGGTCATCTGGAAAGATGCTTCTGCTTTAGCCCAGGCTGGAACCAGACATGTGTCCCAAGCCCCATGCCTGCCCCTTCCCTGTATCCCCAGCCCCATGCCTGCCCCTTCCCCGTGCACTGAGCCCCACAGCCCCACTCACGGAAGCGGACACGGATGGGCCAGATCATGATGCAGCACAGAAACACGGTGGCAGCCAGGGCAATGCCCCCAGTGACCAACACCATCACCCAGTGATAGAAGCTGACACAGGCAGGGCAGCAGAGCTCAGTCCTGCAGGGAAAGGACAGGGCTGCACTTGGTGGTGGGGCTCAGAGTACCCTAGAGCTGCTGCCACCATCCCACTGCCTGGCAGTGACCCTAAGCCCTTGCCCCCAGGACTGGTTCACACTGGGACATGGGAGAAGAGCCCAGGGCTCTGGACTTTGAGAACCCCTTTAGGTATCTGAGATGCAACCACTTAGAACCAAAAGAGAAATCAAGGAAGGCTTTGAGATAAATCAGAAATGGTTTCTACCAGTGTCTCCTGCCAGGGCTGTAAGACCATGCTCCAAACCGCGGCTATTTGCTGCCAGGAGGTCTGGCTGCAGCTGTCCCTGTGTGCATTCCTACTCCACAGGGACACTTACGGGCACGGGTGCAGGTTCTGGATCAGCATCACAGCCAGGCCATTGGCCATCTTGTCCGTGAAGCTCATGGCCCCGTAGACAAACGCACTGCTGTGCTGCGAGGGGAGAGGAAGCCTCAGCCACGCAGCCAGCATGGCACACAGCCCAGCAGGCCCGCCAGCGAGAGCCTTGTGCCCTCTCATGGGCAGAGCCCAAATTACAACAGAGCCCATAACACACCAGATCCTGGGCACGAGGGATGGGCTGCTGCACAGACGTACCGTGTTGGTCCCAATGAGGTCAGCAGTCATGGAAAGGGACGTGACCAGGATGGTAGCGGAGCCAGCCCCGAGCAGCACGGCCACCCCGTAGATCTCTGCTCCCATCTCCCTGCTCATGGACACCCAGGAGGCGAAGGCCAGGATCACCAGGATGCCCACAAAGTATGTCAGCTGCTCCGGGCCGGTGAGGGGACAGGCATAGGGACAAGGCAGAGCTCAGTGCCTGGCTGTGCTCCAGCGCCGGGTGACACCCCATGAGGAGGACAGCAGGGCCAGCACTTCGCAGGTCTCACAGCAACAGCTCTGGATCGCTCCCAGTTGGCTTAGGAGTCCCCGGACAGCAGGGGCCTTGCAGTGACCCAGCCTGCTTTACAGCCTAAGGGTTGGGGCTACGGTGGGGAGCCAACAGGGAGCTGTGGGCAGGGTGTCTGTGCACCCAGCTGGCAGGAGCAGAGCGGGGTTTGCTCCCGGACATTTGCTTCAGTGCAGAAGGGAATGCTGTAGACTCACACCTCAAGCGTGGCTCAGCCAAATCCACCCTTTGCCCCTCCTCCCACCCCAGGGCTCTCCCAGCCCCACCAGGGCTGCACAGGACCAACATCACTTCCCCAGACCTCTGCACCCTCAGGTGTGCAGGACAGGCCCATGCTATCCCTCACCCTGCCCCATCAGACCCATGCTGCAGCAGCAGGTCCCTGCTTTGCAGCCAGGCTCTGCTCATGTGAGCCACGTGCTCTGCTCATTTGTGGCTTCAGGATTTGGCTTTTCTGCCCAGCCCCTGGGCTCAGGAGCAGGTTGTTACACGCTGCCCTGGGTTTGATTCAAACCACTCCATGCCCCTAGGACTCACATTTCGACCTATCCACTTATTCACAGGCTTCATGAGGAAGGAGGAGAGGAAGCCACTGATGTACATCACCAGGGGGATGGTGGCAATATATTTCTGTGAGAGACAAACACAGGGAGAGGATCAGCTCCGGACCACTGGCACAGGACCCCTGTCCAGGCAACCTCGAGGTGCAGGCAGGAATGTGCCCCACACCCACCTTGGACAGCAGCAGCGAGTTGGTCAGGTACATGGCAATGTAAGTCTGGGACAGGTTGACGATGAGCCGAGTGGCCATGTAGAGCACTGCCACCTGCACAGGGACAGAGGCAGCAGCTCAGCCCATGCAGCTGCAGGTGAGGAAGGCTGGCACTGCCGTGCCCTGGCTGCTTTTACCTGGTAGAAGGAGGGCTCCAGCAGCCAGTCCTTCCAGACCAGCACTGAGCGCGGGGACCCCGTGGGCTCCTTCTGCAGCAGGGGTGTGCTCTCCTGGGGCTGCGGCACGGAGCCCAGCGGGTACAGCTTCTCTTTGGTGCCCAGGTGGAAGATGAGGGAGAACACAGCTCCCAGCCCCACCACAATGAGGGACAGGTTCTGGAGGTGGGAGAGGGGGGTGAGTATAGCACAGGGTACCCTCTGCCTGCCCACCATCCACCCCCAGGTGTCTCGTGGACTAGAGGGGTTCCCAAAAACCCAAGGAGAGTTGACGCAGCTCCTGAGCAGTGCAGCAGAAGAGGCTCTGGGACACTGCCACTTCAATCTTTCCAGTACATTCCAGTTTAGCTACATCCCACCCAGGGAAGAAAGGACCCCAGGGACTGAGCTTTGCCACATACCCGAAACACAGAGACATCCTGGATGCCCAGGTGCTCTGTTTGCTCAGGCTGGTCCACCTGCAGGTTCAGCAGCAGCCAGGCCAGGCCGTACACAGTGATGTTGGCCATGACGGTGAAGGCATACCTGGGGGGAGATGGCACATCGGGGTGACACTGAAGGACGTACACAGATCCAGCCACAGCAGGGACATTTCCATCCAAGGCTGCTCTACAAACCAGGCATGCTACAGCCAGTTTGGCACCACAGCATCATTCCAGCACAGGTGAGCACTGGTCACACAGTAACCTTACCAGTGCCCCTCCCAGCATCCCCAGTGGAAGCCTGGGAGCAGGACCAAGAAGAAAACAAAATCCCTTGGGTTCTTATGCTCAGCCCCAGTCATCCCCAAGCAGGACCACTCGTCCCCAGGGTTACCCACAGCCTTCCAGCATGGCTGTGCTACTGTGCTTGCTTGCCTGACAAAAGGGGAACTTCCTCCTACTGGGCAGATAACCAAACCTTTCTCCATCTGATAAATCTCTTTCCCACAGCCTGATCCTGCCAGTTAAGCACAAGTTGCACACATTGCCCCAGGGCCACTGCCAGCACAGGGCAGTGCCTCAGCCCTGCATCACCTGGGGTCACATCCCTCCTTGGGAGCATCACTCTCCAGTCCCAAAGTGGATCATCACTGTGGCACAGCGACTGCTGTGTCACCAGCATCCCTGGCACCACAGCCTTGCTCCTTAGCACCAAAAGGTTTAGATCAGGAAGATCCAAGTCACCTGAAAGCTGTG